GAAGAGAATTTCCAGAGAGAGGGAACAGAATGAAGATCCAATGACCATTAAAGTAACTTGCAAAAAACATAGGAAAAGTTTGTTAGCGCAATGTCTTAACAAAGAGGACACTCCAACTGGACCAGCAGACTTGCCTAATTTAATCTTTTTGAAAAGTAACCTAACATCATGTTCATTTACAATAATGCGATCATTATCACTTAAACTCTTCTTGACCTCCGTATATAGCGTACATAGAAGCCAATTACTAATAATCATCTTTATCTTGAATCTGCTGCTGTACCCGCTACTAAAACTTAAAATGTTCAATATAAATGGATGCGTGGAAATTCAATTTAAAAATTACTGTACATATCAAGTATCTAAAATCAAACTGAACTTGACTATCAGTTTTAGCCTCAAATTTGTTATAGCCATTCTGCCACAAAATACCTTTGTCAACTCCACTATCCTGCTCTCAGGGTAAAGCACCGACAGGCATGGAAATCCATATGACTTGTTTGAGCAGATATGTTACACACCAGGATACACAATCAGTCTGATCAAACCAATTTCTGATAAAATTAAAGTCTAGTTTTACCTCACTTTCGATGATCACCATCGCCAGACGCAGCTGACACAAGCTGCATCACTCCAGGGTCATTTTGCATCAAGTCAAAAAACGATGGCACAATGCAAAAAACTGGACTACTTCTGCAGCTAACAAACCATGATACTGATGATAACTGGAGTAAAATATAAAACAAAAATTGCCAATAACATTATTGTATACTAGTTAGTCTGGCATTTTACACACAAGAAAACATATATAATTGTGTTGCCAGAAAATCTGGATAAATCTTCAAGATAAAACATAACAGAATTTTTAGGGAGAGAAACCAAAAAAGACTTGTTCAGCCTCTAGATCCATAGCTGAGCATACCCTTCGAAAAAGCACAGATATTATGGCTGTAGGTTGCAGCACCCTGTCTTGAACGTTTAATCAACCGCTTGGCCATTCGACTCGCCACAAGTTGAATGGCCACACATGAAATAACAATAGTGCTATTTGTCTTCAATTACTGATTTTTATAACAAGTACATATTACTTGCCATAGCTTGCTGACATCGCACCTTAAACACTCAAACACCCCAATACAAAAACACCCCTTCCCCTAGCACCAGCGGTGGCGCCAGAAATTTGCCGACAAGTGGACCGACATGTCCGGCGGAGGGATCCGAGACAAGAGGCTGACAAAGCCTCGGGCACTGGCCTGGAATAAAAACTCCCTTGTAAGGTTCACATGGATAGGCAAATTATTCATGAGGTGTTTCTACCCTTTACCATGGAGGTATTAGTTTAGACTAATTCCTCAATGCCTTTACCAATTTTCCTGATTTCTAACCATCATTTAGGACATTAGGCCTATCTCTGGTAATTGCTCTTTAATTGAATTATAATCATAGCTTGTGTAATTTATTGGCCATGCAAGGTCAGCTATGATACTAAGGACCTGTTTCTACTGGAAAGAAATAATCGATTAAAAAATCGCTTTTTCGAAAAATCGCTTTTATTTTCGCAGTAGAAACGGGACCAGTTTGAAAAAAGCGATTAAAAAAAAATTGATTAAAAACACACAATGGATAGCGTGTTTGAACGGCAAATAACCGATTTTGGCTGTGCACCTTTTAGCTGCAACACAAAAAAGCGATTATCAGGTGAAATGTGACCTCCAGGTCAATCACTGCAAAGACAATATCGTATTAGGCGCGAACTTTTGATTGAAATTTGTCCTCTTGTTCATGTCCTAGGCCTACAAGCTAAAAACGTCAACAAACATGTGGAGCAACGAATTCGATTTGTAATTATTTTGTGGGGGGATATTGGGACTAGGCCTCTCCGCTCTTTTGGATCTACCGTTGTCCTCGTTTGGTCACTCGTTCATTGTGCTGATGAGCATAGCCGAAAACATTTGCCTTCTCGCCCCACACCGTATCTTTCTTACTCCTCGTCATCATGACAGGAATGAGAAAGATACTATCCTATACAGTTAGGAAAACAACGTGTTGTATAAACAAAATGGTGACGTAATTTTTGTCACGAAAACCAATTTTCGAAATATAAAAAATGCAGTTGCAACGCGACCAGGTTGTCTGGTACTCATTAAAAAAGCGGTTTTAAAAAATCAATTATTAAGTCTATCATGAAGACCATCATCCTAATTTGCACATAAAGAAATTACTTTTTGTATTATAATTGTAATAATATTCAATAATCAACATTTAGGTGTATCTTGATGATCATTAGCATCTTGTCTCCAAAGCAAAGAGAGCATAATGGGGTAAGTTAGCTGAGGCGGCTGAACTGGTGGTAGCTACTGTGATGCACAAATCTTCAAGACCCTCAGTCCCTCGCTCAATTCCATCTGTGCTCTCCTTTTGTTTTACCTGTAGGACTGAAATTCAAGTTAAAATAGCGCAGGTTTTCGTAAAAGACATTTAAGATATTGGTCTTAAACACCAAATACAGTACACTCTTCAGAGAGGAGTAGTCAACTCACTACGAAAATGAAACCTTGGAAAACAAGTCTCAGATTTTATCCATTCCAACAAGTTATCACTTATTAATAATACATTACTTGGAAGATAGTAACATAAAAGTAAAGGTAGGAGAATAAGGCATAACTTGCAGCATAATTGTGCTGAATTGTCATTGTGCTGAATTGTATATGGGTGTGGTTTGGGCGTGGTTTGTGATACTGGAGTACTGTGTAAATAAAAGAAAAAGAAGTTAAATTGCAGTGCCATGAGCAACACTCTTGTGGTGGATATACTGACTCTATATTAAAATTTCCATTTATTATTTTCTTAAAAACTGGAAGTGTGAGGTGGGACATCCCAAAATTTGGATGGTTTGATTTGGAATTACCCTTCCACTGTTCACAGGGCTTTGTTATTATGTCACTGCACCCTCCCTAGGGAAAATAACTCTGCAAGTTCATTATACTTCCACTTTGAAGTACGTGTCTCCCTCAAATTAAAGACCTCCCAAATTTGAAGACCACTTTTCTGTGGTCTCAAATTAACAAATGTCTTTCATCTTTATTTTTCTAATTAGAGACTGAAGATCATGGAAACTGTGGTCCCAAAAGTGTTCTTTATTTAGAGGGAGACCTGTAGTTCAAATCCACTCACAAAAACTATCATTTTCTATCATTTTGCTTATAGCACTGGGAGGCCACCAATGCAACAGTGCTTTGTAACTGTGCAATTTATAATTAGCATATTACTAAATAAAATAAAAGCAATCATTTGAGCGTACCTTAGTTTGACAAGCTTTGCCTCTTTGACTGCTTCTTCCATGAGTATGGTCGACAATGAGAATTCCAGTGACACTACTAAGAGTAGTAGCAGGACATAAACGTTCACAATCACTCAGCCTGCACTCAAGAAGCTTCTCCAGAAAGTTGCATGGCAGATTATCCTGGTTTGACCTTCAGAAACAGAGAAAGAATGATCACTCTATAACAGTAGCACTAGCAGTGCAGGGAAGGGAGATAATCCCCAGCTTGAAAGAGACTACCTCCCCCCCCCCCCCCCCCCCCCCCCCCCTTGATTTCCTACAACTAAGTCTTATCGAGGTTTGTGGATTCAAGTGCTTTTTCATTTGGAACCTCAGTGCTCTAAACCATGGCAGAGTCTAAAGACTCTATACAGTAGAACCCCTCAATTACGTACGGCACAGGCCCAGAGTCGTTCGTAATTGCAGGTATTCGTAAAATTGGGGTTGACCCAAATTCCTATATGTTTGCACTGGTACTACTTACACTGGCATAAACTAGGCCTCACAAGCCTACACAGCTAGGTCTGAGGGGTCCTAGGCCAACAGTAGGCAGTTTCTTAAAGCATTCTGATCCCACTCCACACTAATTTTGTTTTGAATTTGTTTGTATGTTGTTATCTTCTTAAATACCTAGATTGTGGATTTTACTCCAACACAACTTCCATAGATACTTGTTATATATTGATCATTTAATAAAACAATCAAGCATTATGTTGACTTTTAAAGATGCAAATGATGATTAAAAGAGAAGTAAAACTTGTTGCATGCACATGTGTGAAGCCAATAAACACTGAATTTGAAGAGGCCAGTTAGAGGGCCTCCTTCATAAAGAATTACATACTGTATAGTATGATATGTTGTTTTGTATGCGTGCTAATAACAGTTGCAATTCGAGCGGATTTTTTTTTTTGACGTTTGACTTCACTTACATCATCACCTTGATTTAGGAATTCGTTAAATCGGGGTTCGTAATTGAGGGTTTCTACCGTATTTGGTTGTGAGAAACTTCCTGACATTTTCTACCATGATTGAACCTAGAACCTCGCAGTTATGTAAAGCAAGCACTTTAACCACAAAAATACAGCTAAAATCCATTCATTATATTGTTAATATTATTCACAAATTAATCTAGGAACATACCATTCCATAAAACTGACCCACAATTTAATGTAATTACCCACCATTCACTGTAGTATTCCACCAGGAAGAGGTCTCGCTGTAGGTTGAATGCCAAGTATTTGATCCTGTGTATATCAGTGTCCACATTCAAGTATTCAACCCGCGCAAACCGAACCTATTAAATGTGTAATGGAATAAAAAGATAAAACATACTGGTTTGGTAACAATAGTAACAAAACATCAATCAATTTATTTGGAAAATGCTACTGTTTTTAGGAGCGGCCATCGACTTGATGGTGCACCATTCTATAATTCAATGTACATGTGACAAGTTTGGCTATCAACCAAATGGAATATTATTCTGATAAGGTTGCCCATAATGTTAAAACAGCCAAAAAAGAGATCCCAACAGGGGTGTCCCAAAGATGAGGGTTCTACAGAATATGAGGACTTTAAATAGGTAAGAATTAAATCATAGATTCATTGGTATTGATGTTGTAATGCTCTTTCTTATCCGAGCCTCGATCGCAGTTGGCAAGGCAACGGTGGTATTCCGTTGACTTTCAATAAGTTGCTAAACAGATGAAATAAAAGAACAAGTATGGTATCACAAACGTCAAATTCTCTATGAGAGCCAACAGACTAATTTTATTAATGATTAAATACTCACAGATATGAAGTAACCGGTACACTACAATTCAGAATTTCCGAGAAGTAGGTCCATTAATTTCTAGAACGTCCTCATTCCTAAAGATAGAGATATCAAGTGCAGTACTGTACTCTTACCCTAACTAGTTGCCCATACATGTATAGCACACATATCTCTCACCTCTTCTCATGGAAGGACCACAAGCAGAGGGAGAGAAGGCCGCCTTGGGAGCAGCATTAGCACTGGCAGCAGCATTAGCACTGGCAGCCAAGGGAGAACTCAGAAGGCCAGGATTTATTTCCAGACTAACACTTATATAGGGACACCATCAGCCAGTCAGACTGACGGACCAGGAATTACTAAGTACCAGCAATCACTATTAGTATTTCAAGGCTGTCCCATCATTTTAGCATGCACTGTATTGCCAAAAAAGCTGTTACAACAGAGGGGGTAATAATAAATAAAATAATAATAATAATAATATGCTGTTTTTTATAGTGCTCTATAAACTTAAGTCTCAGAGCGATTCTCCACATTATTGGATTATTAGTATAATAAATGTAATTAATTAAATCTAATTGCAATCCTCATTCTTGACCACCACGACGCCCACCCCCACCCACGAAAAAAAATCTCTGGTCCAGACTTCAGTCAATCACAATACTCCAGTGATCATTTACGGATGTATAGGCTTTGGCGGCGCCATCGGGGGAGGGAGACAGGGGGGTTAAGGCCCCCCATCTGTCTGGTAATGCCCCCATCAGTCTGGTAATGCCCCCACCGGTCCTGTCAAGCGCCCCCCCACCCATCGGCCAAAGCTCGCCGGGCAGTCGGACCAAAAAAAAAAAAATTAGAAAAAAAATTGGCCTAGTTTTCCTATCCCAGCCATTTCAAGCCATCTAGAAGTCTCAATTTTTTTTTTTTTAATCTCGTTTTGGGAGTGGGGGCACCCCCTCCCATACCCAACCCTGGCTCCAGCCTTACAGTACCTGTCTCTTATACACATCTAGATGTGTATAAGAGACAGCCCTCCCCCAGTCGGACACCTTAGCCTCCCATAAATTATATCCTAGAGCCACCACTGTGTATAAGGCAATCTATAAGATTTTACATGCCTATCATTGTGTTTGAAAAAAATGGAGGATATGCTTCTTTTTAAACATTTTATGTTTCCATGAGTTTTTTATTTTATGAGTTCCAGTTCGTGGACAATATTGTTGTACTAGGCAAGATCAAGATATACAGACAGCATACGTTTCCGTTTATGTTTCTTATGAAAAGTTGACTCCAAGTCAACTTTTCATAAGAATCGTTTGCAAAGCAACGTATGCGAGATCATTCAACAAAAAGTCATTAAATCACGGTTTCCTGTCAAATAGTGAAAATTAACGTATCACATGAAAATTCAATACATCGGTTTCCTGTCCAAAACTGTTTTGCGACGATTTTAGTTTACGTTACGTCGATTTCACAACACACCAGTCGCAATCGGTTTCCTTTCAAATCGTATTTTCTTAAGATAAAATGACGTATATCGAAAGTATATCTGCCTTCAGCCGTCGACAGGAAACCAGGCTTCACTGGTAAACAATGAATATGTATAAAAGTTGATTGTGCACTGTATCCAGTTGTAGCTAAATTGCTAATCAATATTAATGAGTTCAAGTTATTAAATTAGCTCACAGTAAATGGCACTCTGTTATAAGTCCATGCTACTGAAGTGTGGCCATGTTAATGTGTTAACCAAAAGAAAGGAGTGGGTTAGGCAGTGCAATGGTACAAAGAGCAGAGGCAAAGCTTGTTGAAGGTATAAGGACTGAAGAGCCAGAAAGAGCAAATGGAAGCTTGGTGTTATTTTGTTTAAAATATATTTTACAGTGAGAGTAGAGATTAAGTAACTTGAAATTGTACTTACCTGAATCAAATTAAGAATGATAGTGTGTGAAATGATATTTATTAACAGGTTATAGTTGCATGGTACTGTATTGAGCCAAGTGGGGTTTTACATTTTTCAGTTTTTGACTGTATGGGGAGCAGGACATACCCAATGGTCTTGTGATGAAAGTGTTAGCAACCAATGTGGTATAATATACCACATTGGTATGAAAGTGTTATTATACCACATTGGTTGCTGAACTCAGTTCAGGAACCGAGATGGTACTGACGTTATACTATATAAGGTGCTCAGGAACTGAGATTTTATTTGAGTTGAACATGTAAAGGCAAGCGTATATTGAGCTGGTTTGATGACGATATACAAAAATGGAAACCTTGTCGTTTACAGTTGAAATATAATTTTCCAACTACAGTACAACTAATTGTAGTGGAAAATAATTACTTTCTTCACAGAAAGACTTTGTGTCACACAAATAAATTCACCTTATAGTGAAAAACCGCATTAATACTCACCGATTTCTAAATCTGAAAAGTTGATATACTCCATTAACTTTAAGTCGCCTCTTTGCTTTTGAGAGAAGCTGTAAATAAAAAGAACAATAATAATAATTATTATAATAATTAGGCTTTATATATTGGCATTGTGCCTTCCAAGAGCAAAGTTTTACACCTTGTTAAAATTATCAAAATGCTCAATAAAAATCATCTGGGATAAAAAAATTACAGGGTCAAGTTGTTTTTGAAATCTTCACACTACACCAATAGTAATGACGTCATCTTCTTGTTTGGGATTAGAACAAATTACTTCACTTTTACAACAAATGATTAACGGTCTGCATCTACCTTGGTTTGTTCGAGTTTACATTGGATCGGTTTACTTCACTGTGGTTTATATGAGTTCCAGTGGATCATTTCATTCTATGTACGACTGCTAAAGTTTTGATTGAATGGCATGGCCTTTTATCAGATTGGTTAAAAACGTATGTTCGAATCATGCGTATGTTTTGAGTTTAGACTGAGTGGTTTAGCCTTTACTCAAATGATTTGGTTTCTGTTTGGATAATTTTATGTTCCATTGCACACGATTTGTGTTTGAATTAAATGATTTGGACAACATACGCTTGGGTATGGGATGAATGATTTGGCTTTAGTGGATGAATTCGTTTTTG